TGAGGCCATTTACCATGGAATCCCTATGGTGGGAGTCCCCATGTTTGCTGATCAGCCGGACAACATTGCTCACATGAAGGCTAAGGGAGCAGCTGTGGAGGTGAACCTGAACACGATGACAAGTGCAGATTTGCTCCATGCTGTGAGAACAGTTATCAATGAGCCATCGTAAGTGTTGGATCTTGTAAAGCCGTGTCTGACATAGTTAGGCAGTAAATCATTCTAGAATGTTTGCAAAATTTCATACTTTTGAACTTGGTTTAATCTCAAGTAACCAGAGACTAATGTAAACACTCATCATTTCACTTGCAATTAATGAACTTATTTTTTAATGAATTGAAAATAAATTGGTTTTAAAGATTCAGTCAATGTATTTTCCAAACATATTTATTAGCATATTTTTATGTACTTTCATTTTACATACTTATAAATAAGAACTTAAGCATTATAAACCATTCACAAGAAATAAAATGGAAGTGATAATGTGCTCAACATTAATCATGTATAATTAACTATTAACATTGTATTGCCAAGCATTAATGTTCTTACTTCCAAGTTTTTTATAATTGAATAAACATTATAAAATCTTAAATCAGAAACTGTATTAGGGGTTATGAATATCAGTAACTCTCAATATGAGCTTTCATTTTTCATAAATGTTGACCTTGCAATCTATTCAGCTAAACCATTATCAAAATATTAATTAATTGTTGATAATTTGAATCATTTCATTGAACGTTAAAGTCAGAAAGTCTATGGTTCTTTTCATTCAACTGTACAGAATGTTCATTAGATATCATGCTAGATTTTAAAAACATTTATGCAAAAAAGCCCACAATCATCAGAAATTCATCTGAGCACTAAAATGCATGCAATTCGAAACAATTTCTCAATAATCTCCAAGCCTAATACAAGTACTGATATTACCTGAAATCACAAGCGTATTTGTATATGTGCATTACAGTCTCTGATTTCATAAAATCTTTAAAAAGTATTAGAGATTGTGTATAAACATTTAAATGATAGTGATTTTAATTATGTAGAGTATTTTAACAGACATGCTTCATTGCTACATATGATGTAAATATGGCTATCAACTAGGCTGCCTCACTTATATAATAACATAGTTTTATTGGTATTCATAAAAATGTTTCAATCAAAAATTTTAACTTTAAAATATGTATTAGAAATCTTGACCAAGTGTTTGATTTAGAAATAAACAAAACATTTGCCTAATATCCATTGGAATTAATATGTAAAGTGTTGTTTTTCTTTTTTCATTATTATTATTATTAGTAGTAGTAATAGTATTTATTACAATTTATTTACTTTGTATATCAACTGTAGCACCCTCCCTCATCTCCTTGCAGTCCCACCCTCCCTCTCTCTTCCCACTCTCATATCCCGACCTAGTCCACTGGTAGGGGATGTCCTCCTCTCCTACTATTTGACCCTGGCCTATCAGGTCTCGTCAGGACTGTCTGGATCCTTTTTCTCTGAGGCTTGATGAGGCCACCTTGCCAGGGGGAGGTGATCAAAGAGCAGGCAACTGAATTCATGCCACAGACTACCCTTGTTCCCCTTACTAGGAACCTGCTTGGAGACTGAGCTACCCATGGACTACATCTGTGCAGGAAGTCTAAGTCCTCTCAATGCATGGTCCTTGGTTGGTTCATCAGCCTCGCAGGGCCCCTGGGCCCAGATATTTTGGCTCTGTTATCACCTTGTGGAGCTCCTGTCCTCTCCAGTTCTTTCTACCTCCCTCTTCCATAAGATTGCCTGAAATCTCCCCAAAGTTTGTCTGTGAGTTTCAGCATGTGCTTCAGTACTCTGCAGGGTAGACTCTTTCAGAGGCTCTCTCTGGTAGGCGCCTGGCCTTTTCTCTATCTTCTTCTACTTCTGATGTCTATCCTGTTTGTTCTTCTGAATGAGGATTAAGCACCTTTCCTAGGGTCCTCCTTGTTGTTTAGCTTCTTTAGGAGTATAGATTTTAGTATGTTTATCCTATATTATATGGCTAATATTCATCTATGAGTGATTATATACCATGTGTGTCTTTCTGTTTCTTGAATATCTCACTCAGGATGATATTTTTCTATTTCCATCCATTTGCTTGCAAACATCATGATTTTCTTGTTTTTGATTGTTGAGTAGTATTCCATGGACAGGGAGAGAGGGTGGGACTGGTAGGAGATGAGTGAGGGGGCTATAAACAGAATACAAAGAGAAAAAATTGCAAATAATAATAATAACAACAACAATAAAAAGAATTTAAAAAAACTGTTAGGTTTGTAGCAAATACTCTTGTGATAACAAATTGACTAAACATGTCTTACTACTTACAAAAAAACTAAAAAAAAAACCCAACAAATGTTTGTCTGTGCACTTTTCAAGTTATAAAGAAAATGCCATGAGACTATCAAGAATCCACCACGACCAGCCAGTGAAGCCCCTGGACAGAGCTGTCTTCTGGATTGAGTTTGTCATGCGCCACAAAGGAGCCAAGCACCTTCGCGTGGCAGCGCATGACCTCAACTGGTTTCAGTACCACTCTCTGGATGTGACTGGGTTCCTGCTGGCCTGTATGGCATCTGCTATATTTTTGGTTGCCAAATGCTGTGTTTTTGTATTTCAAAAAATTGGTAAAAGAGGAAAAAAGAAAAAAAGAGACTAGAACAAGAAAAGTCCCTGGGTTTGGTAGTCCTAGTACTTAGAGGTACAGGGAGCTGTCAGCTACTAATCCTCATGACATTTTCAAACATCCCATTCATGTCTTAGCCTGCATATAACTGTAGGATGCAACATAATCACACTTTCTTGAAAGAGCATCATTTTTCTTTTGCTATTTTAGTGATATTTTTTCTTATCTTTTTGGCACAGGGGCACTATTAATTTAACATTTTTTTTTCCAGAATGTCATTTAAAATATAAAGAAAAAGATAACCGATAGCATTACAAATCCTTGAGAAGGCACACAGGGTATATTAAATTTTATTTAAGGCCCACTTATGCAGATCCTCACAGACCACACAAAAGGAGCATTGACAGGAAAATTAGTGTGTTGTGAGAAGATTCAGCATCTTCTTTCTAAATAAACACCAGCTTTTGTGATTCTCTAATGTCACAGAGGATGAATTCAGAACTGTGGTGGCATGTTACAGCAGGAAAAGTATGTAAAACTTGTTAGCACATTTAAATTATAATGGTGTATTTTCCTGCTTTTCCCTAAAACATGTATCTGTATATTCTCAGTGAATGGGTTTTGATACAATCTAAAGAAATGAAGAGGTGAACTGAGCTACCATTTTCTTCTCAGATAACAATTACCAACAGTATCTAAAAGGTTAGTTCTAGGAAAAGTGAAAATTAAGTAATATTGAAAAATTGTAGTAATTTCTTAAATTTTAACTTGGCTATGTATGTTAATCCTTTATACTTAAAATTGTATAGTTCATAATCCATAACCAATATTTATAATTAATTGTTTAATTTTCTGCTAAAATAAATACTAATATTGAGATCATTGTTATTTTCTAGTCTCTGTTTTCTATGAATT